CGATTCTCGTACGATCGCGGGATTTCGCCCGATTCTCGTAGGAGAATCGAGCAGTGTATGGGCACCTTTAGAGAATTACTTGTAGCAGGTTTGTCTTTTCTCCCAGCTTGATTGCACACTTAATTACTGGCTGTAAATCAATTGTCATTGCAAAGTCAGTGTGCAGTAGTAATATAGTATATGCAATACTAACAGCAACTATTCACCTGGTAAATACTGTTTTAATACTTCATAATCATGATAAAAGATTAGAAAAAGAAACATGTAATTCTCTTGAAAAAATAGACTAGTGTATATTTGGTAGTGCAACATGGACGAAGAATCAATATAGACACGGGTATATCTTTGCAAGGGGGTGGGGTTTTTTTTAATTTACTGATCTTGCATCATTAAACAAAGTGGTAAAGTAATTCACATATACACTATATTGCCAAAAGTATTAGGACGCCGGCCTTTACACGCACATTAACTTTAATGGCATCCCAGTCTTAGTCCGTAGGGTTCAATATTGAGTTGGCCCACCCTTTGCCACTGTAACAGCTTCAACTCTTCTGGGAAGGTGTCCACATGGTTTAGGACTGTGTCTATGGGAATGTTTGACCATTCTTCCAGAAGCCCATTTGTGAGGTCAGGTACTGATGTTGGACGAGAAGGCCAGGCTCGCAGTCTCCGCTCTAATTCATCCCAAAGGTGTTCTATCGGGTTGAGGTCAGGACTGTGCAGGCCAGTCAAGTTCCTCCACCCCAAACTCACTCATCCATGTCTTTATGGACCTTGCTTTGTGCACTGGTGCGCAGTCATGTTGGAACAGGAAGGTGCCATCCCCAAACTGTTCCAATAAAGTCGGGAGCATGAAATTGTCCAAAATGTCTTTGTATATTGATGCCTTAAGAGTTCCCTTCACTGGAACTAAGGGGCCAAGCCCAACCCCTGAAAAACAACCGCGCACCATAATCCCCCCTCCACCAAACATTACACTTGGCACAATGCAGTCAGGCAAGTACCGTTCTCCTGGCAACCGCCAAACCCAGACACGTCCATCGGATTGCCAGACAGAGAAGCGTGATTGGTCACTCCAGAGAACACGTCTCCACTTCTCTAGAGTCCAGTGGCGGTGTGCTTTACACCACTGTAGCCGACACTTTGCATTGCACCAGGTGATGTAAGGCTTGGATGCAGCTGCTCGGCCATGGAAACCCACGGACCCACCTACGGACTGTTGTTGTGCCAATCTAAAAGCCACATGAAGTTTGGAGGTCTGTAGCTATTGACTCTGCAGAGAGTTGGCGACTGTGCGCTTCAGCATGCGCTGACCCCGCCCTGTCATTTTACGTGGCCTACCACTTCGTGGCTGAGTTGTTGTTGTTCACAGTTGCTTCCACTTTGTTATAATACTACTAACAGGTGACCGTGGAATATTTAGTAGCAAGGGATTTTCACGGATGGACTTATTGCACAGGTGGCAACCTATCACGGTACCACGCTTGAATCCCCTGAGCTCCTGAGAGCGACCCATTCTTTCACAAATGTTTGTAGAAGCGTCTGCATGCCTAGGTGCTTGATTGTATACACCCGTCGCCATGGAGGTGATTGGAACACCTGAATCCAATGATTTGGATGGGCATCCCAATACATTTGGCAATTTAGTGTATCTCTAAGCATTACCTTTTTTTTTTTCTTTTATTAGAGGGTTAGACCCTCTATTAAGTTTTTATTGCTGTCTATGATCCTATTGAGGTTGTTCTCTACTCTGTTTGCATTTTTGAAAGTCAGAGGAAACTATAACATGCAAAATTTTAGAGTTGTCCCAGAACAAGAGATAAGGGAAAATCTTCAAATGTCAAGAGATGAATTCACCTCACTTTCAGAAATGAAAGCACAGTTGCATCATCAAAGGCAGCCCAAGAAACAACAGGGGACCCAGAAGAAGGAGCTGAGGAGATGGTGGCAGTGCTAGACAAAGCAGTGACTGACAGCCTTGATCAGTCAGCACTGGAGGAGGCACATTTGTAAGGTATGTGTGTCATAATGTGCATGTATGCTGTTCAGACTTTTACTCTTGCTTTATGCATTTTAAATGCATTTTTAAGATTTAGCTCCTGAGTTTAGTGTCACTTTAAAGCAGAAACTCTGGCCAAATTTAATCTTAAACCTTAGAGTGGGGCTACCCTCACATTGCAAGGGTTAAGTGCCTGTTTTGTCTAGAAAGCTAAAATAAAGTTACACTGTCCAAAAACCCCCGATTCCAGCTGGCTCCTACAGCGCTCCCTCCAGCCTGTCTCTTCCTCCATTGCAGCAATGCTATGTTCCTCAGCATTCTCATGTTCTATACACTGTATAGAACATGATGACTCACAGGACCTTAGATCACTTGAGTCGAGGGGGAGTGAGGCTGAAGGGGCTTGTCTAACAGCAAGCCCGGATTGTGGTTTGGGTGAATATAACTTTGTTATTTTAGCTTCCTAGACAAAATAAGCACCTAACCCTTGCAATGTGAGGGTAGCCCGACTCCAAGGTTTAAGATTTAATTTCCCCAGAGTTCTGCTTTAACGTGACACTACACTCAGGAGTTCCATCTTAAATATGCATTCAGGAACATTTAACTATTAACAAAAATGTATCTTATTTGTGTATCACTCGGCTGTAGATCCTCAAATCATCTCTGAATTGGTGCTGACACTGTCCTTCCTTCTGGAGGGTGGCTACTTTTGTCCCCCATGGTCCCTGTGTGTGTTGTAAAGTAGCCACCGCTCCAAGCTCACATTTAGTTTACTAATTTGTATTGATATAGTCCATCACAGGAGTGAGCTTGGAGCGGTGGCTACCTTACAATACACACAGGGACCATGGGGAACAAAAGAAGGCACCCTCCAGAAGGAAGGACAGTGTCAGTACTAATCCAGAGATGATTTGAGGATCTACAGTCGAGTGATACACACATAAGATACATTGAAGGGAATTTATCAAAACTGGAAAAGACAAAATTTGGAGCAGTTGCCCATAGCAATCAATTGGCTTCTCTTTCATTTTCAAATCTTGAGGTGCCCATACACCTTACAATTATTTTTCAGATTTTCTGTGGTCAGATGGAAAAAGTGCAACAGATTGGCCCAGGTGGAGATTACTCCATCCGCACAGTTAAGTGTAGATGTTGGAATCTGTTGCACCTTTTCCATCTGACCACAGAAAATCTGCAGATAATTGTAAGATGTATGGCCAGCTTTAACTGAACAAACTGAGGAGAGAAGCTGATTGTCTGCCATGCACTGCCGCTCCAAATGTTGTCTGCTCCAGTTTTGATAACATAGTAACATAGAATGTAAGGTTAAATAAAGACCAGGGTCCATCCAGTTCAACCTTGTATGTGAGTGCGTGTGTCTGTATTTATGAACACTTCCCATATCCCTGTAGATTCTGCAAAAGAATAAACTCATCCAGAAGTTTCTTGAACTTATTAATGTTATCAGCAGATACCACCGCCTGTGGTAGGGAATTCCAAACTTTCACTACTCTCACAGCGAAATACCCCCTACGAATTCTAAGATTGAATCCCCTCTCTTGTAGTGTCCCTGGGTTCTCACTACAGTTTTCGGATTACACAGTTTGTTCCGAATATTGTGGTCCACTTTGATGATTTTGAAGACTGCAATAAGGTCCCCTCTTAGGCCCCGTTCACATGTAGCGACTTGACTGGAACGTCGCCCCGAAAGTCGCGCTATCCCGGCCGCTGCAAAGGCATGTGAACGGGGTCTCAATCGCCTCTTTTCTAAGGTGACTAAGTTTAGATTTGAATATGGGCTTCATAACTCAGGCCCTCAATCCATTTAATTAGGTTTGTAGCCCTTCTCTGAACTCTCTCCAGTTCCAGGATGTCCCTCCCGAGAGTCGGAAACCAGAACTGTACCGCATACTCAAGATGGGGCCAAACCAAGGATTTATAAAGTGGACGTATATTATGCCCCGTTCACATGTAGCGAATTATCGCGCGATTTCCGCCGCGATATCGCACATTTTTGCCGAGCGATATCGCGAGAAGTCGCTGGCCAATACTATCCAAGTGAGCTGTCTTAACTCCATGTCGCGGTCGCAAGTCGCTTCTACCGGACCCTTTTTTCGGCGGATTTTGCCTTTTTTTCTATGGAGCCCGACGGAGAAGGTCGCGCTACCGTCGCTGGATCGTCGCCCCGAAAGTCGCGCTATCCCGGCCGTGCGGATCCGCTGCAAAAGGTATGTCGCTACGTGTGAATGGGGTCTTACTCTTTGATCCCTTGCTACAATCCCTCTTTTAATACACGCCAGTATCTTGTTATCTTTACTGGATGCTGCTTGGCATTGCTTACTGTTGCCAAATCTGTGATCTATGAGCACCCACAGGTCTCTTTCTATGTCTGACTTCCCTAAAGTAGCACCCCCAAGTAGTAGTTTGCGCACATGTTCTTTGCTCCCATGTGCACAATCTTATATTTTTCAACATCAAATTGCATTTGCCATCCTGTAGCCCATGCATTTTGCTCAGGTCCTGTTGTAGTGCGCATATCTCTTGCTCAGAATTTACTGCTCTGCATAGTTTAGTATCGTCCGCAAAAACTAAAACTGAGCCATTTATTCCAATAAATTTCCTCCATTTTTATTAATAGGTAAGGTACTTGAATGCATTTTCAAGGTTTAACTCCTGAGTTTAGTGTCACTTTAAAAAGTACAAGTCTCCACATAGACTGGTTTACCAAATAGCAGTGCTCTACCACATCATGTCAAATGAACCCTACATATATTAAAAGAAAGTCTCTTACACCGTTTTGTATTTTGGTTGGTAGTCATGACTGCACCTAAGGCACAGTAAACTTTAATCCAAGTGTACACAGCCAAAGCTCCTCCAGCAAAAAAAAAAAAAAAACACTTTCTCTTATGTTGCCCTTCGCCTCATCCCCAGCTCAGCTTCCTGCTTCCACCTCTCCTCTGACATCACTTCCCGCCTCTCAACAACTCCACTCTAGCTCCGCCCCATCCAGTTTGTGAGGGATCTTGAGAGGGGGAGCTTGGCTGGCTGCTGGCGGGAGAGGGAGCAGCAGGCTGCAGTATAAGACGAGCAGATAAGAAGGCTCTGTAAGACGTGCTCCGGTAGAAGGTAATGAGATGCATGCAGACTGTGGCTGATACAACCACACCGTACTTTGTCGTTTTCCTTATATGCCTCCTACGCATCATGTTTTCGCTGCACGGCTTTACTAGCCTGCTAATAAATAAGACAACCATGTTGGCATTCGGCGCGGTTTTTGTGTGTATCGTTTACTTTCCGTGTGAGGTGGATCTAATAAGCATGGTGAGGTGAAGACTGAGCGAGTGTTGTGGTGTTTTGTAGGCACGCACCGCCTCTCTGCAGCCTGCTCGCTCCATGTTTCTGTGTGTGTGAGAGAAGGGGGAGTGGGAGGCATTTAAACATTGCACACTGCCCTAAGCCATCTATTCCAACGGTAAATCCGATCTGCCCGTGTATTTGTACCATGTTTGTTTCCTCCAGGCCGCTGCACCGTACAGGAACACATCAGATGTTGCTGTGCCTTATTCTCTGAGGGGATGGCATGCAAAATAAACTTGAAGAAAGCCTAATATAATGGCCTGCAGCCAGCTTTGTCCTCTATTTTATTAGAAGTACATCTAAACCCATTAGTTAAAATGTTAGCTCAGGTTTAACGTTCACTTCAGACATTTTTCAGTCCGATTCAGTAGATTTTGTTAAAAAGGTAGCTGGTGATTCTTCCATGAACATCCATGTGCGGGCACTTCCTGTTAGAGAATAACAGTGTGGTGTCCCTGTCTCCCAATTGGGTTTGTGTGTTGTCAGGCTGTTGCCTGGTGTTCTATCACTTCTCCGTACCCCGTGCAATTTCTGGGGTGTGTGTGGAGTTCTACTGCGCATGTGCGGGTACAGATATTTTACAGGCCCATTCTTATAACACTATCTCGCAAGTCCAGACAGTGTTTTTTCTTTAATTTTGTTGCTGCATTTGTTGTCATATAATGTTAATAAAAAGATTTTAAGAAATGACTGCTAAAATTGAAATGTATAACAATAAAACCCTAATAACAAAATATATATATATATATATATATATCCTGTTTCCCCGGAAATAAGACCTACCCCAAAAATAAGACCTAGTACTATTTTTGGGAATTGCTTAAATATAAGACCTACCCCAAAAATAAGACCTAGTTGTGACCATTCCCAGGGCCCGTGGTGGCATAAGGGGGTACTTGAAGAGCCGCGGGAGAGAATCAGCGGTGCCAACGAAGCCAGTGCTAGAGGAAGCAAGGCGGCAGCGGAGGTAGCAGAGCATAAGCCGATGCCTCCTCTATAGCGTGGGCTCCTGTCACTGGCGGAGTGATACAAAATGCACTCCGCCTGTGAGGAATCGAGAGTGAAAGTGCACTTCCCTCATTCTGGCCAGCGATTGGTTAGCAAATTGCTCTTGGAAAGGTACGGTTCCCTTGATTGCTCTGATCACCATTTTTTCGTACATGAAGTCTTGTAGACTGTTGTACATGAATAAGTGTGGATTGTTGTACATAAAAAAAACTAAATAAAAATAAGCCCTGCCCCAGAAATAAGACCTAGTGTGTTTTTTTTTTTGAGCCAAAAAAAATATAAGACAGTGTCTTATTTTCGGGGAAACACGGTATATCGTGTTTTCCCCGAAAATAAGACACATTTTTGGCTAAAAAAAACACACTAGGTCTTATTTTTGGGGTTGGTCTTTATTTTTATTTTTTTTATGTACAACAATCCACACTTATTCATGTAGAAAAGTCTACATGTATTCATGTGCAAAAATATGGTGATCAGGGCAATCAGTGGTGCTGTACCTTTCCAAGAGCAATTTGCTAACCAATCGCTGGCCAGAATGAGCCACAGGTGGAGTGCATTTGGTATCACTCCGCCTATGATAGGAGCAGGCATCGGCTTATGCGGCTCTGCTCCCTCCGGTGCCGCATCGCTTCCTTTAGCACTGGCTTCGTTGGCACCACTGATTCTCTCCTACCTCTGCCGCGGCTCTTCAAGTTCCCCCTTAGGCCACCACCGGCCCTGGGAATGGTCACAACTAGGTCTTTTTTCCGGGATAGGTCTTATATTTTAGCACTTCCCAAAATTAGTACTAGGTCTTATTCGGGGAAACGGTATATAAAATACGAGAGAAAAATCTGTCTGCAGATGATATATATTTGATTTTAGTATTTGTTTTTCTTTTTTTAATGTTATTTGCCAATAAATGTCTGGAACCCATTGGCTTGTATTATAAGGATGGGTCTGTGAAATTTCTGGACATGCGCTGTAGCATGTGAGATTTGTGGACACCCGTTGCACGCCCCTGGAAGTCAAGAAATCTCACGGGTCCAGAGAAGTGATAGAACACCGGGCTCCTGGCGGGGGCTACATGCATCGTGTGAGGATGGTCCACCGTTGTCACTATCGGGAATCTGGTCCAGAGCAATGATGTGCAGTTGGCTTGATGTAGATAGGAAATTGCTGACTGGGCTGTTCACACCCCAAGGCCCCATTCATACCTAGGCATTTTGTCGCAAGCTGCAAAACGCCCGTCGCTCAAAAAAGTTCCTGAGCTTTGGGGCGTTTTGCAGTGCGCTTGGCCCCAAGCTTGAAAAACGCGACACAAGCTGATGGCATATTTCTGTGCATGTTTTTGCGTATGTTTCCCCATTGACCAGAATGTCTTTGATCTGCCAGCCAAAATGTGCGTCTGCATGTGCGCGCGTCTTGCGCAAAAACAAGCAAACTACGCTAGGCGAAAACGCTGACTCCTAGGTGTGAATGAAGGTTTACTGGTGACTGGAGTTTTCTGCAACTGAACGACTCCAGTCACTGCAAGGGCACAAACAGAATTGTTTTCTATGTGCCCCACTGACACAACAACGTGGTTTTATTGTGTGAAGAAATGTAAACATGCTGCGTTTTCATTCATGGCGCTCTGAATTGCAGTACAGCACTACTGTGCGCAGACTCGAGTGGAGTGTACACTCCAAATAAAGTCTAGTGAAAGCCTAGTGAAAGTGGCGCAGATGAGAACTACTTGAATGTGTAGCACGCATCGTTACGAACAATGAAAATGGCTTCCGACATATACATCGTCAGATGTGTCATAAATGACTTATTGAATCTCCCTAACAGTGTAGTAACAAACTAAATGCCAGTTAAGGTTTGTTTACTTTAGCCCTTTTGAGTTTTGTTTTTTCTAAATTTTTCATGTACATAAAGGCCTATTCTTTTAACATGGAAATGCACTGAAAACCCTAAAACATTGAATGGAATTTATCAAAACTGGAGCAGCTGTGCGCGGCAACCAATCGGCTTCTCTTTTATTTTAAATCTTAACTGAAGAGAGAAGCTGATTGGTTACTATGGGCAACTGCTCCAGATTTTGTCTGCTCCCGTTTTGATAATTTGCCCTCTATCTTTTCTGAAAGCACAATTTTCCAAATTTTGTGTAAAATATTAAAGATGAAACGGGGTCAAGTAAATAGATACCAGGTATGTCAAGACTTAAATTGCGTGCACCCGTGAGATGTTAACTTCATATGGTATCAACTTAGGAATTTCCTTAATTTCAGTGTGCACAGAGATACCCAAGCCACCAATAGCTCCTGCAATGTTGCTGACAGCTTGTTCCTAAAAAGTAACAGATGCTATTGCAGGCATGAGTTTGTTTATATGCTGCTGTCGTACTAGTTGCGGCAGTAAGGCCTCATTCACACTGCCGCATGTGTAAGTGCGTATTGTACCATATGCAACCTATGCAAATAAATGGCTCCATGCACACAGAGCCGTATATATGCGCAAAAACAGAATTGAACAGAGATGCGTATTTTTGCGTGTATACGCGCGAATACATGCGTACAGCACATAAAAAATTCCATTACGAGTGATGCATTCTGGGATTGCATATAGTATACGCATAGATGCGTATATGCGCAATATAAAATTTTGCTTGCGTTGTGTGTGAATGAGGCCTAAAAGGTTTAAAGCATATCTTAACCCAAGAACAAAAATATAATACAGTGCAGCCTACCAGTCCTCAGATGTGTTGTTAGTTTTCTTCAAGCTTCCCCCCCCCCGCCCCCTTCTCCACCTGGTCATCTTGCCAGTAACACACTCCCTGTCCTAGGTTGGCAGCGCTCAGTAACTGTATAGGGCTGCATATGAGAATAGTTGTCAACTGTTCATTGTCGATTAGTTGGTTGGATCCCCTAGCTCTCCCCTCCACGTCGGCAGGAGGGCACAGCAAGCAGTGGGTGCGTGCAATAGCCAGCCTGCTAGTGGCTATTGCAATTTGAAATGGCCAATAGCAGGCAGGCTATTGCATCAGCCCACTACCTGCTGTATTTATATTCAGCTGCCATCTGCAGAATCTTGCCACTGGCAGCTGTCATTCCCTGGCTGAAGCTATTCATGCGCCATGTGCTTACAATACAATTATTAAAAAGATGGGGAAAAATTTATTTTCGGTTTCGGCCTGACAAATTCTGCTGCAGGAGGTGCATTGCAGTCCCATTCATTTCAATTGCACCTCAAATGCATCTCCCACCTGCAATACTGTACGTTCCAGTGCAATTGCAATAAATTGTGCATACAGTTTTATTCTGAAGTAAACTTTGTAACACTGCATTTGTGTATTTTAAATTAAGGATGGTATTTAAATTTTTATCCAATTTTTTTCGATTAATCGATTTATGAAAATCATTAATTGCAGCCCTAGTACTGTATCTGTGGAGGAGCAGCATTGTCACCCTAGGCTGCTCTCCTGAGTTGGACTACACGTACCCCCTCAGTGCATAGGCAAGAGATGTCTTGTAGTTCACCATATATAACTGGAAAAGCTGATCATGTTTGAAATTTCAGTTCAGTGCACAGGAATTTACAAGGACACTGGAGTTTTGGGGTGATCAGCAAGTGTATTTCTACACTTGCAAAAGATGTACTTTGCATCAGACAATAATAGAAATAGAGTTTTACAAACATAAAGTTTACCTCCGAATAAAACTGCATGCGTAATTGCAGTACCGGGTGATCACACTGCAGGCAGGAGATGCGTTTGGGGTGCCATTGAAATTAATGGCACCACAATGCACACCAGCAGAATTTGTTAGACATTTTAATTAGTTTCATGGATTTAAAATGTAAAACTCCAAGCCAATAGAATAAAAAAAAAAACTTTTTTAATTAAAATAACACACTAGCTTTCTACCACCAGCAGCAGTGGAGGCACTGGGCACAACAGCGGGGAAATGCATAGGCACAGCGGTCTCTACTCCTTGCTGGGCACTGGCTGCAGCGCTCTGATACAGATCGTGACTTCAAGTGAGGCGGGGGGTGATTCAACTAATCGATAATGAGAATTGTTGACAATGGTTCTCACTATTGATTATCATCAATTTAAGTTGATAAGTTTTTGCAGCCTCAGAAAATAGCTTTACATTTTTAGTACCTTTCCTTATGCATCAAATAATAACTGGAAGACATTTAGAAAAAAATGCGCCTGTGCACTATGGTGAAATGTACTTTTCAGTTCATCCATTATATATGTTCTTGACATGGCTGATGAGGTTTAATCACATACCTGCCATCTTTGATTCTTCCAGATTTCTAACAAACTGCAAAAAAATTCAGAGCTTATAGCATAAATAGTATGTACAATTTTTATTTGTAACATATAGCTTCAGTTCACAAAGCTTTAACACAATGATAATGAGCTTTTTCAGCCATCTATTTTTTTTTTTTCCTTTTTAAAATCCTTTTGTGTTTTGTTTTCTGAATCGTATGTGTTGCCATTTTCCCCTCTCGCGTACCTGTATTTTCCATCATTTGCCTGTAAAGGTAAAAACAAAAAAAACTCCTATAGAACCTTGTCTTGTTTATTTAAAAGATCATTCAATCATGCCAATGTTTTGTAATTTTATTTTATCTCTTTTCATCTCTACATTATACGAAGACAAAATGACACGAGATTACAAGCCTGGGGACCTGATCTTTGCCAAGATGAAAGGTTATCCTCACTGGCCTGCAAGGGTGAGTTGGTTGCTTTGATGAACATATGTGAAATTGATAAAGCAAGGCCTAGAGCATATTATTTTATTAATATACAGGATTTATATAGGGCCAGCAGTTTGTGCAGTATAAAGGGAGACTGTACAGTTGCAAGACAAGATGGTTAGGAGGGCCCTGCTCATGAGCGCTTACAATCTAAAAGAGAGGGGTGAATGATGCAAAAGGTGTTAGCTGTGTGGGGGTTAGTTGTTTGAGAAAGTAAAAGTACAGATGTTGGGTAGAGGCAGGATAGGCTTCACTGAAAACATGGGTAGGAGATAGTCGAATAGGTTGAGATAGGGAGTTTCAGAGTATAGGTGAGACTCTGGAGACGTCCTGGAGGTGCGCATGGAAGGAGTTTATGAGGGAGCTAGAGAGCAGGGGGTCTTGTGAGGATTGGAGAGGACGGCTTGGTTGATATTTTTGGGCAAGGTCGGTGATGGTGGTTAATGTTTAGAATTTTATTATTTGGCCGATCGGATGCCAGTGGAGGGATTGGCAGAGGGGGGTTGCAGACACTGAGCAGTTGGTTAGGTGGATGAGACTTGGCAGCAGAATTCATGATAGAATGAAGTGGGTAGCCTGTTTAGAGGTAGGCCAATGAGGAGACAGTTGAAATAGTTGAGACGATAGATAACGAGTGGATTAATACTTTGTGGTTTCATTGGTTAGGAAGGGGGTTTTTTTTTTTTTTTTTTTTTTTTGTTTGGGTTTTATTTGTTAGGGAGGGGGTTTTTTTTTTTTTTTGGAGACGTGAAGGTGGCAAGATTTGGACAGTGATTGGATTTGGGGCTGAAAGGGGAGGTTAGAGTCTAAGATTATGTTTAACACCCTGGCATGGGGGAAATGAAGGAAAGTTGTGCTATTGCTCTCAAAGGAAAAGTGGGGATAGGGAACATGGGTGGGGTAGGAAATAACATGAGAGGTGGTATAAGAAGTCATGTAAGGTTCTCAACTGACCAAGGGAGCAGGTTTAGATGGGGTCTGAGCACAGAGCCTTGGGGGACCCCTACGAAAAGAGGGAGAGGAGGTAGTGGTAGGTGACATTGACGGTGTATTTGGATAGGTAGGTGAACCATGAAAGAGCAGAGCCTAAAGGTGCCCATACACTGCACGATTCTCGTAGGAGAATCGCAGGAAATCCCGCGATCATGCGAGAATCGTGCAGTGTATGGAAGGCGTGCAACCGTTTCTAATGTACGGTCGCACGACTTTTGTATATCGAGCATGTTGGAAAACCAGCCGAGAATCGTACGATTTTTGGCTGGTTTTCCCAAGTAATCTTCCAGGACAGCATCTGAGAGATAGTCTCCTCCCACCTGAAACAGGAAACACATCACATACACCAAATAAAAGGGCGCTTACCCCCAGCATGCCTCAGTTTTTTCTGTTTCCTCGGCCTAACAGGAGCATGGGAATACTTTGTTATTTTACTCTACAGGCCTGCGTGCACGTGGCGGGCTTAATGTGCAGATATCTCCTTGGAGTTCTTACAGAAAGGGGCAGATATGGACCTGTCTTGTAGTACGTTAAGGGTATCCCCCAAGCCGGCAGCTTGGGGGATACCTGGGCAAGATCCCTGGGGCAGTCCCCATCCGGTCCTACCCTTGGGGAACTGAAGGCGATAGGACTGGCCTTAGGCGAATTCGAAGTAGGAATCGGAGTCTCTCATGTAGCAGTCAGGACGGACAATGCCACGGCGGTCGCCTATATCAACAGGCAGGGGGGCACGAGGTTGCGGCCTCTGATGGCCCTGACACAAGAGATTCTGGCCTGGGCGGAGGTCAGACTTTTATCGCTCACTGCGGTGCATTTAAAAGGGTCTCTTAACTCCCTAGCGGACTTCCTCAGCAGGAGACGCATTCTCCAGTTGGAATGGGCACTAAACAACGAAACATTCCAGATGCTGAGGAGGAGGTGGGGGACCCCAGAGGTAGACCTGTTTGCCACCAGGGAGAAGAGAAAAGTGGCTCGGTTTTTTTTCCCTCTGTCCAGGGGACGGAGCCCTGGGAGTGGACGCATTTTCCCATCCCTGGGTTTTCGCGCTGGCGTACACTTTTCCCCCGGTAAGGCTGCTACCCAGAGTCCTTTCGAAGGTAGCACAGGAGAGGTTGACCCTGATACTCATTGCACCCTGGTGGCCAAAGAGACCGTGGTTCGCGACGCTTCGCAACCTCAGTATAGAACCCCCTTGGATTCTGCCGATATTTCCGGACCTTCTGTCCCAGGGCCCAGTAAGGCACCCTCATCTGGATACACTCAAGCTGGCGGCTTGGTATCTGAGAGGGAGATCCTACTGACCAAGGGGCTTTCAGAGAGAGTGGTAGCCACCCTGCTTTCCAGTAGGAAACCAACGACCGCCGCAATCTACAATAAGATCTGGAAGACTTTTTCTTCCTGGAGGCTCCTTAACGACATGAGGAGTAAGTCGGTTGTGGTGGCGGTGTTGGAGTTCTTACAGAAAGGGGCAGATATGGACCTGTCTTGTAGTACGTTAAGGGTACAGGTATCAGCTCTTTCAGTTTACTTAGAGACTAGACTGGCAGAGGAACCCCTGATTAAAAGATTTCTTAGGGCCACGGGCCGGCACAGACCACCGCCGGTCAAAAGCTGCCCCTCTTGGGATCTGTCTGTGGTGCTCAGGAGCTTCCTGGGAACCCCCTTTGAGCCTATTTCAGAATGCACGATAAAACTGCTTACGGTAAAAGTGGCACTGCTGATAGCAGTGGTATCACCCAGATGGGTGAGCGAGATCCATGCGTTCTCTATGGCAAAGCCGTATTGTGTTATTCATGCAGACAGAATCATTCTAAAGCTGGACCCAGGGTTCCTGCCAAAAGTGGCTTCGACGTTTCATCGCACCCAGGAGGTGGTTATTCCTTCTTTCCACCCCTACCCGGCCATTGATGTCAGGAGATGCATTCTGGAGTACCTGGAAAAGACAAGCAGCTGGAGGAGGTCAGATAATTTGCTACTCCTATTTTCAGGCGCAAAAAAGGGCCTGAGGGCATCTACGGGTACAATTGCCAGATAGATCACTTCTTCTGTGGCTGAAAGGGCAGGAGCAACCCCAGATCAAATCTGTCGGGCAGCGACTTGGACCAGCTTCCAAACATTCGTGAAGCACTACCGCATGGATGTGTTTGCTACGGAAGACCAAGATTTTGGTAGGAAGGTCCTGCAATCAGTGGGCCCACCCTAAACCATGTGAGTATGGGTACTTGCCTATTCTCTCAGATGCTGTCCTGGCAGATTACTTGGGAAAAACTGAGTTAGGTACCTGGTAACTCGGTTTCCAGGAATCTTCCAGGACAGCATGGTTCCCACCCTTGGGATTGTATGTAGCTCTACGCTTATGTGTATCCTTCGGTTCTATTGTATTAACTGAGGCATGCTGGGGGTAAGCGCCCTTTTATTTGGTGTATGTGATGTGTTTCCTGTTTCAGGTGGGAGGAGACTATCTCTCAGATGCTGTCCTGGAAGATTCCTGGAAACCGAGTTACCAGGTACCTAACTCAGTTTTTTAACATGATCGAGAGATCACTGCCGAACGTGCTTTCAGCGTTGCAATCATCGGAAGCCCACCCCTCGGGGGCGGGCTTGCGATGATCGCAAGTACGATTTGCCTGTCCAAGATGGGCAGATCGTACGTTTTTTTAAGTACTTTACAACCATCGCAAGACAAAAGTCTTGCGAGGGTTGTAGAGTGTATGGCCACTGTTAGAAGCTAAGGGAGTGAAATGCTTTGAGGAGGAGCAGATGATCAACTGTATTAACCACTTGAAGTCCGCGGTGTTATACCCCCTTCCCGCCCAGGCCATTTTTCAGTATTCAGCGCTGCAGTACTTTGACATTTATACCGTCATGCAACGCTGTACTGAAATTAATTTTATACCATTTTTTTAGGGACAGATAGCGCTTTCTTTTTGTGGTATTTAATCACCGCTGGGGGTTTTATTTTTTACTATAAAGCAAAAATTACTGAAATAGATTTTTTTTTTAAAACTGTTTCCCCTATATTAAATGATAAAACATTTATTATTACCCAATTTTTTGGTAAAATTATAAAAGACGGGGTCACGTCGGGTAAAAAGACACCAAACATGTCAAGCCTTATTGCGCGCACGCGTAACCTCAAAAAAACGATATTACCCAAAATTGGCCATAGACGACGCTTTAAAAGCTTTTACCGCTCATCAGTTTAGAGTGATCAGTGATTGATGGCCCTAAAATGATTGCTCTCATTCCGACGTTCGCGGCGATATGCAACATGTGTAGCGCAATTGTCGTTTTCGCACGCTGGTGCACCAGACGCGTATTTATGTTTATATCTGCTTTTTTTTTTATTTATATATATATATAATTTTTACACTTACTGTTATTGCTATTACATAGGGGGATAACAATCTCCCTATATAATAGCAAAGGCACACTGACAGGTCCTCTTTATGGAGACATTATGGGTCTCTAGGACCCCAAAAGAAGCTGATGAAGCAGAGATCATCTTTTCTCTGGCTATAGCAGCCAGATGACTGACAGGTGAATGCGGAAGTGATGTAATACACATCACTTCTGCATTCACAGCCCGGACGGAGATCAGCAAGGAGCTGATCTCCCTCCCGAGCCGGTCCCGTGCCGCAGATGGGCTAGCGGATCCCGGGATTGAAGGTGAGGGGCTAGGAGGGGGGCGGCAGCAGACGAGGGGGGCACACACCAGCACATATACACAATCGGCTGGCTATGGAGCTGTTAAACAGCCGGTAACGGCTTTATGCATTGCATGTGTTTTTTCTGCCCGTGCGCACGCAGAAATAATTTGCCGTCTGGAGACGGCAACCCGCTAATGCAGCAGTACCGTTTTTTTCAACTGGCGGACGGCAACTGATTGAAGGCAGCAGAATTATCTAATAGTAAAAGTATTGAGCAGTGTTTTTAGCAGTTAGTAAATTAGTGACTTTTAGAAGGGCAGTTTCAGTAGAGTGTTGGGGTCAGGGGCTTTTAAGCAAAATATCGGTACTCGATACCCAAAAACCGGTATTGGTGCATTCCTAGTTTTGATTAAAACTATTTTTTTTCTATTGGGACAAGTAGATTCGGCCCCTGCTTTAGCCATTGGACAAGTATTTTTTTTTACATTTCCACACCGCTTATAGGGTCAAGAAGGCTGTTTGTTAGTGACCACTTAGGCGGTTGTAGACTAGACGTTCTAGGAGTTTGGAGGTAAACGGCAACAAAGAGATTTGGTCTTAGGCTGGGTTCACACCTTGGCGTTTTTCCGCGCTTTCGTACTCGCGGAAAAACGCTCAAACAGGGAAATGCCATTATTTTCAATGTGCATGGTTACCATCTGGGCGGTTTTCCGCGAGTACGAACCTGCGGGAAACCGCCCTACGCCCAAAGAAGTACATGTACTTCTTTGGGGCGTTTTGGTCGGGCGGTTCCATTGGGATACAGCCAAGTATCCCTCGGAAACGCGCAAAAAACGTGCATGTTCAATCTGCCTAGGTGTGAACCCAGCCTTAGATTGTTCAGGCTGGTGGGGTCCACTTCTCATGCATAACATGTATAACAATAACTGCTTAATAGGCAACTCCCATCCCTGGGCGTCATAGCCATTTAGCGGTTCCTGGACACCTGAAGTGAATACTGTCCCCCGCTGCACTGGACACTGTATCTCCATTGGCAATGAGTGGAGGAAAGCTAAATATATGTTGTTGTATATGGGGAACTAAAGCAAACATGTTGCTTTGCTCTGAGTGGCAGGGATAACCTATTATTTTGTTTTGGATAGAGCAAGGAAGAGTTGGAGCCTTTGATGGGTCTTTATTTCAACCTATGACCCTGTTGGGGAGCTTTTCACCCACTTGCTAGGACAGGAAATGATGGTAATCTTTCCATTGGTGACACAAAGAAACACAGTTTCAGTAGAATAAGGGAGAGTTGGGGTCCTTTCACAGTCCTGGTGCATTGTGTTGAGTGCTAGGTCCGCTTTTTAAATGCCCCCTCTTGTTAAAATACAGTGAAAGTCCATAAATAGACCTGTAAGTAATCTCCATCATCCTCCTGCTGGCAAGATCTGGATGAATGATGAGCATTCCAGATCTCGCAAGAAGACGCACAGCCTCTTTAGATTCTTCACTGTTGGGTCTGGCTCCTCCCTTGCATGGGCACTGGAAGCTTTAGGCCAGGTTAACACCTGGGCGATCTGTGACCGTGCGACAATTGTGTATGATACCGCGTGTTCACGCAGTCTCCCATCACCGACCATCGCGCTAGCGGTGCCATTATATTCTAATGCCACCACAGTCTCGCCGGGCAAATCACGCAGTTTCCCGCCGTGATTCCGCCTGTGCAACCGAACTCTATTGCGGCTAAAACAGTGGCGCATCGCAATGAAAGATACGTGTATCTTTTTGCCCAGTCATCTTCCAGGGCAGCATCTGAGAGAAGGGATCCACCCACCTGAAACGGGAAACCACAATTAGAATAAAAAGGGCGGTCCCTCCTAACCACCTCCAGTGTTTCCAGTGTTGTGTTTCATCCGACCGAACAGAAGCATCGTAACGTTTATTATTTTACTCCAGGCCTTCGTGCTAGATAGCAGGGGCCTCCTGAGGCATGCGGCTCTCACTCGCAGGACAGTGGACTTGGAGGGCCTCATGCACAGGACATTTACCCAGGACTGGTTCCCCCAGAGTCCTTACAAAAACGGTTTGCCCAGAGGTTTCCCTCCATAATTGAAGGCGATGGCAACTATCCTTGCTGGCGTAGTGATTCTAGCTGATTCCCCCAGAGTGTACTGCTAGAGGAATTGACGGATGACCCGTTGGGCTCTCTGGCCAGCAGCAGAGCTGGGTCGCAGTGGGGCAGGAGCGGGAGTCCAAACGGCAAGGGTGTGTACACCGTCTCACTCATCACAGGCTGCTTCTCCCATTCTGGGTTTTCAAGGCACCAGCTCCAAGGTAGGCGGGTCTACAGTTGACAAGTCCCCCCTACCTGTACCCTTCTTGCTCTGGGGGCCTGCTTCGGTGGGGCACAGGGTACTTGGCTTGATTTATGCTAAGATGTGCTTCCTGCATTGACAAACTGTTTTTATTTCCGAGCCAAGCTTTTCTGCCAGATCTATGTATCTCCAATGAGGGGCATGCATGAGAGAGAGCGTGCATGGTCATATCTCTTTCACACAGACAGGATCTGGCTCACCAGGGACTAGGGATGGATCCTAGCAGTATCTTATTTAGGACAGCCTGGCTGTTACACTTTTTTCTTTAGACTTTGTATGCACTCTCCCCTCTAATGTACACCTTGTACTGGAAAGTACAGTTTCATAGAAATCCTGAGACTGCAGGGCCACACTCTGGTGGAGGTAATGCAGTGTTTTTTGTGGTGCTCAGCCATGTTCTTATGACTGCAGACAATGTACTAGTGAAACAGAAAACAGACTGCATGTATAAAGTACACTAAGACATGTTTTCTGTGGGGCTAAGACACAGAATGGTTTATTGTTATTCCTTTTTTCACTTGAATATGTTGAGATATTGGGGTGATGACCCCCTCAAAAAAGTATGCTAATTTCTAGTTTATCCTCTCAGATGTTGCCCTGGAAGATGACTGGGGAAAACCTAAGTTAGGTACCTGGTAACTTTGTTGTCCAGGCATCTTCAAGGGCAGCATGGATTCCCGCCCTGCTCTTTGAGGGAGGTGGTTCAACATGAATTTCATTGTTACTGTCTGGTGGTCCTTTCTGCCCTTCGGTTCTATGATAATACTGAGGTGGTTAGGAGGGACCACCCTTTTTATTCTAATTGTGGATGATGTGTTTCCTGTTTCAGGTGGGTGGATCCCTTCTCTCAGATGCTGCCCTGGAAGATTCCTGGAAACAAAGTTACCAGGTACCTAACTTGGGTTTTCTTCTTCTTTTTTTTTCTTCTTCCAATGAAATCAATGGGGCCGCACAGCAATCGCTGTCTGCAATTGTGCGCCTTCCGAATCCTCAGGTCTGCACCGACCCTTATTTAAGACAATACAATACAATAGTACTCGGCTTGTATCACGAAGCTTTAACTTTAGACACCTAATACAAACTATAAATTGGCTTACTCAGAATTAACCCTGAACACGATATACTCGCCTTATTGGCACCAAAGTCTCAGCATTGAAACCTCAAAGTCAAAGCTGAGAGCGAAATTATTTGCAGACATTTGGCTCTGTAGTATTATTGACAGTGTGGATTTACTGGACCTTAGACCGCTGCAGAGAAGGGGGGGAGAGGCTAGAAAGACCAATCTAAGAGCAAGCAGGCTTGATGCTTAACCACAACACTTGCTGCGGGTGGCCGTACATATGCAGCTGGCCGCTGAAGTGGTTATACCAAGTGCACAGCTGCTGCGTCCCCCACTGTGCTTTAAAGCGTAAATGCATTTTCAAGTAAAATTCCCTAGAGCACTGACCCTAACAGTCCTGAGTAAAGTTAGACTACCTAGTGCAGACCTCAGATGCAGGCAAGCCTTCCAGCACCATCCATCTCTTTATAACATTACAGGGACTGAACAAACCAGGGATGGCAACTGTCAGAATAAGGTATGTCTGCACTAGGTAGTATTCTTGTCCTCAAACGCAGGGCCAATGTAATGTTTAGGACGACAGTGGGCCAGATAAACTACTAAAGGTGTGCCACATATTTTTTATGAATGCGCAAAATAATACTTCAAATTCAAGGGTTTGAGACTGGAAAGACACAGCATTGTGAATTGATTGTTGTGAAAAAAAGTGTGCCATTGGATAGTTTTATCATGCATGTCTCCTAAATTAAACAAGCAAGCTTATTATTTTTTCTTTGTTCATTTCAAATATTTCTTTTGCAGAGATTGTACTTCTTGAAGAAAATATTAAATGTAAATTTGCTCCCACAGGTGGATGAACTTTCTGATGGGGCGGTTAAGCCTCCTACAAATAAAATGCCTATTTTCTTTTTTGGAACCCATGAAACGTAAGTTTGTTTTTGTTCCCTAAAAGTTGTTTGCCTATGTTACCTTTTGTAAATCATTCCCACTGCCATATCACATGTATGGTTGTCACGTAAGATATACAGTCATGACCAAAAATATTGGCACCCCTGCATTTCTGTCAGATAATGCACCCCTTTGTGCAGAAAATTGTTGCAATTACAAATGTTTAGGCATTCTCAAGTTTTTTTTCTGATAAAACAAGTTGATCTAGCGTTGTTTCCCTCCACTGAAGTGGGACATGTTACTCTCTCAGATCCTGCCCAGTGTCTATTGAATTGCATCTTCCTTCGTTACTCCATCCTGAACGGCATTGGCATTTCCCAAGATCCGGAGATCCTGGCAGACATTCATTCACATTTACAACTCTACCGCTAATGCCACGCCTGAAATAGACCCGGAGATAGTATGGATGGCCCATAAATCCTACATTAGGGGAACACTAATCAAACATGAAGCTAGTCTCAAACAAGCTTGTACCGCCGCTCTTAATGCTCCTTTTGGAGAAATTCAGGATTTTATAAAAAATCTCCAAACCTAGTCCTCATGCAGACATTGGGGCTACACTGATGAGGGCTAGGGAGGGACTGCGGTCATTTAATTTTGGTAAGGCAAAAGCAATTTTGACACACTGCAGATGTTCCTCCTTTTGAATATGGCAACAAGACTTTTGGTAAATGCCCTACATAGACAGCACAGCCCAGTGGCGGACCTAAGGAACAAAGGCCCCCCCCCATAAAAACCCACAAACACAGCGCTCTCCTTCCGCAGCGCTCGGCCGGCTGTCACTTTCTCTCCTCCCCGCTGGGACACAGAGCAGCGGCGAGAAAAGGAAGCATGGATGGTACCGCTGTATCAGCAGAAAAATTGCACTTTCGGCATTATGCCAAAAGTGCCATTTGCGGCCAATATATGGTGCTTTATGTATAAAGTACTGCTGAGATTTGTAGTCCTCAGCAGGTGATTGCTTGTAAGTCATACAGCAATCGCCTGCTGTTAAAAGGGGTACCAAAAACACGGCTGCCGAAGTTTTAACCACTTCTGCGGGCGCGGTCTATAGACGTACTGCGGCCTGGAAGTGGTTAAAGTGACATTAAAGTAATTTTTTTTTTATCCCTCCACCCAATGTTAATGTCAGCACTTACCTTCACTGATGTCTCCTAATCCGATCTTCTTTCCTGATGTTTTCATCTGTCCCTCCAGCGGTGCGGCGGGTGTCCGATCCAGCGCTGACTCCTCTGTCATTGCTGGCACTTCCTGTCCCACAGTGTCTGCATGCAGGTGCATGCGTCCGTAGACTTACCTTGC